CCACAACATACAGTTTGAGGTTGTTTTGTTTTGGAAGGATATATTTTGTTAACAAATTGTAATATTTTCTGCATGATAATGTCATTTATTTAAATTCAAGGCTGCTTTTTTGTAACACACAAGTAAGACTGCAGTGTCACAAAAAGCAGTCACTCTGGTGCTGTACAAATACTGTAGATAATAGTTAATTTCTTATCATCATGAAACTTGTCACTCCATTAGTTCTCAAAGATAATAATAAATTAGTTAACACCTTTGGTCAAAAAACTGTTTTAAATTAAAGATGTTTTTTTGTGCTTTATCAAAGATGTATGAAAATGATGTTTCATTAAGAGAAAGTATGAACTACCTGCTGCATGTCCTATAAAGCAGATGTGTTTAATTCACTCGGTCACTTTCCAGAAGCCAGTTAAGTGTCATAACTGACATTTCAAGCTATAATATCATTGGAGGGACAACACTAAGTCTGCTGTGCTTATGTAGGAAACTTTTACCACTATGCAGTTTTTGTGTCAAAACCTGAATAAACTTTTGAAGATATCCATGAGGGGGCATCTCTCTCTCTCTCTTTGTCTCTCTCCCTCTCTCTCTCCCTCTCTCTCTCTCTCTCTCTCTCTCTTTGCTATATATGGAATAATTCGTATGGAAAGAAACACTGTTATACTGATGGGCTGTGATGTATTTAGTTGTTGTAGGGTGTATCCCACCCTACAACAACTCATAGTCTCCATCCTATCAATAAATAAATAACAAGCACTAAACCACCTCTGCTTACATATTAATTATTCCTGCTAAGAAGCACAGTGTTAATGTGTTCTGTGAGTTCTAAGTACATGATAAATCTTTTTATTTTCTGAGTTTAAAGTTAGTTTAAAGCTGATAAAGTCTGGAAAAGAAAGGGTTATTTATACACACTGACTGGGAATTAGAAATGAAAGTGGAACAAGGCTCAGTGAAAAGTGATCTAAAAAATTAGTAGACAGGAAAATCTAAAACAAGACACTACAAAAAAAAGAGAAAAGAAATCTAACAAAGTAAAATGTGACAAAACTAAAAACAACAAACAAACAAACAAACAAACAAACAAAAAAACTGGACACACAAAAAGGGTCACACCAAATGTAAAGAGAGAGACACACTGGTGGATAAAAGCATACAAGCAGAAATACGAGACTGTAAACGTTAACACTGAGGAGCTGAACACACGAGAAATAAACTGATAAACAGAGGAAAACCCAATTCAAACCCAGGACTGGATGAGTAAATCACCTAAACAGTCATCAAAAACTCCATATTAAACTGTAACCAGAATTAAAATACAAGAGATAATAATTAAAATACTGGAATGATACCAAAATCAAAACAGGAAAAAAAAAAAAAATACAATGTAAGAATTAAAAAAACAACAGTTGAGTCAAACTGTTTGTGTTTCCAACAGTGCAATCAAACTACTAAGTGTCCTATGAACTAAACAGAAAGTCAAACATGACTTCCAATACCACTAATGGACCTTTGATTGGCCTTTGAGGGGGAAAAAAATGCATTTCCCATGAAAAATGACTTCACCCCCTGTTTCTACAGGGAGTGAAGTCAATGGTCAGGTAATGGCGGATAGTTCCTGCTGACAGCGTGATGAACTTTATTCCAACGTAAGAAGTCCTATGAACAGATCAGATCAGATTGGCAAAGTGCTGAAAGAAAAAAGTCATGCTAGAATTGATCCAATACCAGGATAGGTATCGATACTATCGATATCTGGATTGATGTACCCACTTCTTATTTTAGGATGTCAGTGTCGTTTGAGCTCTTGTTGGCAGAATTGGGACAACACCTAGGGAGGCAGGTCATTTCAGAGTCTATTAACAGGTAAAATAGTATTATTTCCATATCATCGTATATTCAGTACTGGTGCACATTTTGAGCTAGTCACAATCTGACTGGTCAGATCTGTTTATTCACATGCGAAAAAGTCGCAAATTTGTCTTCAAAAACGCATATGGCATTGGTGTGAACAGCTGCAATAATAATAGGTTACCTGTCCAGTGTGAAAAGTCCTTTAGCCTTTACATTTGCTACAAAGATCATGAGAACAAATGTTTTGAAAAATATAGCATAAAATTTCATGGGCAAACTGAAATAGATACAGTAAGTCATGGCAGTAAATACACGACCTTCCAATTATCACTGCTTTCCTTGGTGTGGATAAACAAAGCATTACAACTGGCTTTCACCATTGCTGTTTAGGGGCCTTATGGCATTAAAAGGGGATCTCATAACAGCCAAAGGGCGGGGATCCAGTACGAATCTTCCACGGATATGTTTGAGGCCAGTAACAGACCAGCTGGCAATACATGGTGCCAGAGCAGAAGAATGGGTAAGCTGTACTGTACTGTGCTCATATCGACTTAAAGGAGCACAGGAGTCAAACAAAAGTCTTTTGAAGTACTGTTTTACTTTAGCGAGGACACTTCTTTTGAAAGTGTGGCCTCTTTGTCCTCAGACTCACTCAGAGGAAATTGATCTTGATTACTGATTTTCTGTAGCTTCAACAAGCATGGCGACATCTGCTCAAATGCTGTGATATTCTTAGAGGTCAAACTTAAACAGACAGAAACAACAGAAAAGTAACCAGGGAAAAGATCTGCGTGTGTCCATGTTTATTTTGATCATTTTACATTTCAGCAAATTGTCTTTGAGGACATTAATACATTTAACACCTGCTAACTGAACAGCTTTTTGCTCCTATAATATACTGGCTTTCCATAATAACTTCACAATTCATTTGTAGTTTGGTCTCCCTACAGCTCCTACTGTAACTATACAATCAAATAACATTGGTTAGAAAATCAAATAAATTGAAAGGTATGCATTCATTTTCAATTATCAGTCATTTAAAAAAAAATGTCATTTAATGTTGAATTCTTCAATGCACAAATATTTAAATATAAGAAACAATACATTGGATTTCTAATGGAAGAAGTGGCTTTGGCAGAGAGAACTCAAACATTAGTCAAAGTCAGTGGGGAATAAACATTGCTGGTCCATAAATCATTGGTCCATCAAGTCCACAGCACACTGACGAAGCTTGTGATGGAGAGTTTCATTTCAAAAGAACAGGAATTTCATCTTGAAACTTGATTATTACATCTGTTAAAGATTGACTGATTTGTTTAACTTTTTCCACACTAGACGTTATGATGCTATATGCAGAGATAATATGATTTTTATCTCTTCACTTTGGAACAAAACTCTTCATGTGGATATTTAATTAACCCAATCTATACAGTACACGTGCTGCGACTTCTGCCAGTTTTACACATTTGTTATCTTGGAAAACAAAGTTATGCTAATCAACGTGGCTTACGATGCCTGTCAGACAGAGAGGCACACAAAGCAGAGAACATTTAATGTACATTACTGAAACTAGACACATTTTTCAAGCCATTTAGACTCAATTGTCTGAACCAAATGAAGGCCAACAGTACACCAAAACCATTTCTAGGAGTGATGGCAATGTCCTGTCTTCTACTACCTGCCAAACAGGCATGATTTGCATTTTCATTGTTTTACATACTTTGTCCTAAATTTGAAAAATACCACTCAAAGTATGGAAGCTTTGTATTTTCATATCAAATATGCTTCTAATCACACAGGGAGCCATCGTGGAAGTCAACATTGGATGATGATTACTGTATTCATAGGAAAGTGATAGCTGCATGCAGTAAGGTCACAACGTGTGGTCCTGCTTTCAAAAGGAACATTTTCAAATTTGTATTTTCCTCTGTTAAAGAATGTTAAAGAGCACGCACATCAACATGTGAAATGTTGATCTGTTGGTTTTCTTGCTGCTTTTCCCCAATGCAAATCTGGTTTTTAGTTGAGGAAGATCCGAAAGTGCATTTCTAAAGATTGGAATTGCTTTGTTAAAATAAAATTACACTGCAATATAAACAAACCTGTTAAATAAATGATAAAGTACATGAAGCAGGTGGAAAATTACACAAGACAAAAACCTGTTAGATCTGCATGCAGGGGTAGATAATCACAAATGTCCCATTTCAAGCTTATTGTCCCCTTTTGCTTTTGTTGTTGTGCATGAATGGAGAATTTCTCAACAGCCAACTAAACTACATCTGCCCCTAATATCTGCATTGTGTCAGAATTATATATGCTAACTGTGGATGAAAACTATAGAAACTAAATCATTTACAGAAGTCAACACTAGTTTTGCAGGTGCCTGTTTTCTGTGTGGCTTTTTGGCTGAAAAAAGCTGTTAACTTTTTACCGAGCAAAATCTTATTGCTGGGATTTATCAGCACATTAACCCTTAAGATGCATTTCCCTTTAATGGTCCCTGGATGGTGATTTTAGTCACTCTGACTGAAGTGAAAATTTTATCTTTTTTATTTACTTTGGTGAAAAGACAAATATAAATGTGACATTTTGGAGGTACTATAAACAAAAGCAGCTTTTTGTTTGGTGTGAATTTTTTTCAAACTGATGCTGGCTATAGATTATCATTGTGTTTGTTCAGTAAAGAAAGCAATCATATTTTTTTTTTAAAAAAAAAGAAAAGTTCAGGTGTCAAAGAGCCGATAAAGTGCTGCAATCTGAGCTGTGATTCACCCTGCTTCAAACTGCAAAGTCACTTGACAACTGCAGATACATCTGCAACTCCTGCAGAGCTCGTTCCATGCTCAGTGGTGCGCAAATACGGCATTAATTATGATTAGTTAAGCTACTCAAAATTAAATGAAGAACAAATGAACTCATGTTGCAGATTTGGGCTTCTCTGTAGTTAAAAAAAAAAAGACTGGAAATGAATTCACAGATGTCCCATTCATGTCTCTCTTTTTTGCGTATCATGAAATGATATGTTGCATGGGAGAAAAGCAGCGTTTGGCTTTTGCTTTGTTTTGTTTTTTTAAGATTGCTTACTTCAGATTTATTAAAATGACAGATAAAATGACAAACATTTGAGGACCTCCATGAATGCTTCTGGGATGATTTTTTTAAAAGCCCAAAGCCTGATATACTGTTACATCTCTTATAGCTGGTGTCTGAATGTGCCCAGCAATACTTTGATCCAACAATCAGTAGGAATGACATAACAATAACACAGAAATAACATTCGAAATGCTGAATTTCTTAAATAAGAACAGATCTTAAACTCATATTTCTGTATACACTTCATACAACAATCTGTGTAATAAACAAGATAGATAGCAATTTTAATAAAATACTGACAAGGGAAAAGAAAAAGTCTTGCATGTGTGGTAAAGCACAAAGCATCACCCGATAAAGTATATCTGTAATAAAACACTGTGTCTCATTTCATTCTATTTAGATTTACAACTGAACAAAACAACCTCTGATACCAACATTAACCTTAAAAATAATCAGTGAACCTGCAGGACGCTCTGAGTGAGATACAGTTTAGCTATATTCAAGCAGTATACAGATGTTTAGTTCATGTAAACTTTTTATCCTAACAACTGGAAGCATCTACAGTGGCTGTGTGAGTGACCATGTGTGTGTGTGTGTGTGTGTGGGTGAACGTTTATGGTAGTAATCTTTACATTTTCTCCTGAATCTCTTATTCAGACTGTATTGGCTCTGTTCTACTGCATGAGTTTTACAACTGTGAAAAATATATCCACAACATCTAGCGAACAAAACCAGCAACTAAAATACTCGATGACAACAGCTTTCTATTGTAGTGTGAACAAAAGGTGATTAGACTTTGTTGTTTGGAGTGTGACTGATAATTTTAAACTTGCAAAGTGCTCTTGGAAAAATCCTCATGACTGCCAGAAGTTGGTCTACTCAAGTAACTATTGTGACCATTTATACTCTAAGTATGAATGGTCTGAAAATACAGTTCAGGTTTGTTTTTTGACATCTGCACTGATACTGATAACAAATCTAGACTTTTACCTCATTAGTAGTGCACTAATTCCAGCACTGACAACAAACATCAGAAAAGGACACATTTGTGAAATGCTGCTGTGATGAAGTGTGCTGAACTCGATACTTAAGAATGAACCCAGGCAGGGAAGTAAACCAGGTTAAAGCTGTAAATTTGTGAGAAAGACTAAAATAAACCAGTAAATGAATTAATAATGGCGCACCATCCATAGTTTTGTGATTTGTTTCTTGCAGGATAACCATTTTAGTCTCAGAGACTTGGAGTTATTTAGTTGAATATTGACCCCATCCTCTCACTTACTGTTTAGTTTGTTTAGCTACACTGGCACTTACACACCATTATATTCCTGTTAAAGATGAAAAATAGCAGGAGTTGATGTGATTACATTGCTAGTAATTAACTGTGTGAAAGTGTGTGTTTGTATTGAACAAGCTGAACAAATCAACATGCAACAACAAAGTACAGTGAGGCCTTCCGCTGTCAGAATTATTGTTATCTGCATAAAATGGTACATGGACCATGCCTTATGTATTAATCCTAATTATTAACCAACGTCTGAACGACTCATCAGAAACATCAAAAGATGTCATTGATGAATGAAGTTGCTGTCTTAAAATGTGAATTAAAAGGATGATTAAACAGCCAAGCAGGTATGTGGTAACCCTCCCCTGTGACTTGTGGTCTGTAACACAAAGCATGATATTTAAGTGGATCACATTTTTCCCCAATCTTTGATGCTTTCAAAGATTGCTGCAAAACATTTAGGCTTAACCTGGGTTGACTGCAAATAAATCTCACATGAATGAAATGTACTTTTAAATTTGTATTTGCAATTATTCTGCAGGTGAATTTGGATAAAGTAATCACAGAAGCATGGCTGTCAGTCAGAAGTTGTGGTAGGCAGCGCTTACCTAATCCTTTTCATCTCACATGTCTGATTCTGCGCTGCCTCTTTACTGCTTCAGCGCCATTTTGTGATTAAGGCTGATAGCATATCTGGAGTTTTCTGAAGGAAATACGACAGTGTGCAGGTTCAGATAATGATGCCAGTGCAATCTTCTATAATTTTCATCCCTTTTTGTCACAGTCATAAGCACCGAGAACTCAAAGGGACCTTTGGCACTAAAATCCCGCAAAGAAAGAGTGCTGCCTTCACAAAAGGAGTTCAAATAACACATATTATGTTTCTTCCCTTAAAATGACTTTTAATGATGCAATCATTGTAGTGTATCAAAAGCAGTTTCCTTTTAATAGAGTTCAATGTTGAAGAAATGATTATGATCATTTTAAAAATGTTTTTTAGCTGTTGTTAATAAAAATGTCTAGATTGAACTTGACTTGTATTTACTCTCAGAAACAAAAACCCAGCAAGCAGCAGTTGCAGAAAAACCTAGTTGTAGCTGACTAAACTGGGTTTTACAGAGAACTGATCTTCTCATTAATCCATCCCCTGAACAGTGATTGGTCAGTTATAGCTTAAAAAGACAAATTAGCAGGTATGTCAACCTTCAAATTTTGCAATACATGAGAAATAAATGATGATGACCTTTGTCTTTTGCTGTATTTATTCCATAATCATATTTAAAATGGGAGAAATATATTGACGACAATGTTTGTTTCTCAGGAAAGAGAACACGGGGGCATTTGAACTAAGAACTGTGGCTGCAAAAGCACTACCGCTGTCAGCGACATCAGAATCAATCTGGGAATCTATCGACTATCACCTGAAGACAGCCTTTGTGGACACTGGTCAATATCTGACTGTTCCCTGTGCTTTTTTTAAAACACAGTTAAATATGAATTTTTAAAAATCAAGTAACATCCTGAATTAATGTCAAATAATTGCCTATGGTTTAGAGCTTGTAGTTAAGAGTATATGTTTGTTCTCCGCTGTCCAGCACAAGCCTTTAACATGCTTCAACAAATCAAAGCTCTTGTTTTCTGTCTACAAATATCAGCATTATAATTAAACCAAATACTGATGCTAAAACAATTACATCAGCCAGTTTTCTAGAAGCCTTGTACTGCTTGTGGTTTTCTTAGTAGTTTTACTTGGTGACAAACGAAGACAATTACATCACACAACAAAATATACTCATTTAAGTTGTCTCCATCTACAAAAGAGGAAATACTGATGTTGGTTTTATGGGATGTCAGGAGAGATACTCCTTTCTACTTCCTTGGGCATCAAATATTGCCATTTTGAGAAAGCAGCTGAAGTCTCACAGTTATGCACACGGTGTTCGTTGCCACCTGTGCCATAATACAACAGGTCTGTCACACCCAAGTGGTTATGTATGGGTGCTTCTAAAATACCTTTTTTCATCAGATTTATATGGATTACCTACATGTCCAGGCTTACTGTTGCAAATGGCATATTTAAAAACAAATCAAGATATCGTCTTAGCCAACTGGACTAAAAAAGGAGTTTGAGATGCCTAAACTTAACCAGCCTATTAACGTAAAAAGTGAGTGCAAACGAAGCAAAATAAAATGTGGACAGCGGTCTCCTGGGTGAGTCACTCCACCACTGTCTATCTGCTGCTCTGCAAAAACAGGACCACTGTCTGTTCATGTCTCATTCTGCCACAGCCGATGTGTCAAGCTACCAACGTCAGAGGGCAGCTTTTAGGTATTTGTGCAACAGCACAGACAAAAAGACAACATTTGACGTACTAGGATGACTATGTATTGGCAGCAGTATGAGTGGATTATTAATAACAGATCCAAGGTCAGTTATATAATAAAATAATGAATGCATTTAGCATATGATGACTAATCGGGTTGGTTCCAAATAAGCTCCACAGCATTTTAGTTGCATGAAAAAAATATTGAACCAATTGTATATTTTATGGATTTTGTCATAATGAGTAATTGTACAAATGGCAAAATTCTTGCACAGATATATCATACACCTGAACACCTTGTGGAAATCTAAGTTTGGTCTGAACTCTATATTATGTGCCTCTTTCTGAAAATAAATAATTTACTCCTTGAACACAAAGTTCGAGCAGTAGATTCAGCAAAGGTTGAATTTATAATAATAAAAATTTAATCAGACCCTACAATGGACTTAATCATACAATACTAGGTGTCATGACAGCCTATTCAAACTGTTTCTGTAGCTACTGTCTGCTCTTAGAGGATCAGGCTGATCACATATTCAGTAAAAACACAGTATCGCCATCACACTGCCAGATTATTATCTCTCTGTGTTTGATGTTAAACCTCAGTGGAAGCACACAGATCACACTGAGCCGAAGGAGGAACCATTAAGAACAAGTCTGACTCGACTTTGCACAGGATACAGCCTGTAGAGCCTCTGAGCTGCGGTAAGCGGGGCTGACATGTCGTGTGCGCTGGTGTGATAGTTTAACATTCCAGCTGTCTGCTCTCGTTGCAGCGGGCCACCTCACGCTCCCCTGCCTGCCGGCCTTTATTCTGTGATCTGCTCGGCTGTCTGTTTGCCAGCCTCACTCTGCTGCTCTGCCCATCAGAGGCGCGTATTTCCTTCCCGATGTGCTCTCCACCTTTTTAACATTTGGTTGTCACACCTTTGCACTTCGTGTGCCCGTGGTGAATAGTTGATGTGGAAGAACCTAAACTTAAGTATGTCAGACTGCTTCAGGGCTACACTTAACAAACTGTATCAGTTTAAATACTATTTTCTAAAGGACAGTTCCCGATTTTCTGACTGCTAAAGTAATTAATCTTATAATTTAGTATAAAATGTTGCACTTGAAAGTTACACTTTTCTCTGAACTCGAGTAAACGCTGACTGTGCCATACATATAATAATGACATCATCAGCGTTTAAACTGATTCTTTTTAGGAGGATCACTTCAAAAATCATAATTTTGAGTGCACTATGTTATTGTTATTTCCTGGTATCTATAGTTAGCCTTCTCCATCTAAAAAACACAAAGGATGGAATAAACAAAGTGAAAGAGGCAAAAGTAAAACAAGCGGAACATCATAAGGGGGAATTTGGTTTTTTTTTTGCTGGACAGAGCTTCAGGATGTTAAAGGGTTCAAATGCAGCAGACAGCTGGTATTACTTTGACTACAGTTGGTGAACCTATGAGCTAGACTGCTGAACTGAATCTTTGAAATAAGACATCTAATAATAGAGACATTATCATCAGTCTACAGTTGATTGCTTCACTGACTTTTTACCTGGCTGCATACAAACTCAAATGTGATTATCCGTTGGAAACAAGGAATGGTTTCATGCATATTATTATACAGATATCTGTTTATAGGGATAGTTTTGACTTTAGTCATTAACAAACAAAATCTGCCCACTTGTTTGCCTTAATATCCTTTTAAAATGTCAAGTGGAGTCTCTGTTACCACTTCAGTGACAGCCTGAAATAGGACTTAATACAAGCCTTTTAACTGCCCTGTACAGAAAATAACTGCAGCCATTCTAACAATACAATTAACTTTAATCCAGGATTTAATAAATTATTAATCACTGCGTGTCATTATCAGCTGAATTGTTAAATTATTGAAGTTAACCAATTACCTCATTGAAAATGTCTCGGTGCATTCAGGTGCTGTCAGGATGTTCTAACAGCTCTCTCATGCTTCAGAGGGTCTCCTTAAAGATGCTGCAAACCAAGCACTTAGCACAAAAAGGATAAAATTTGCACTACCTGACAGTGGTAATGGAATAATTTTCTCATCAAACAGTGATGTGGGCATTTTAATTCTTCAGATTAATCTGGTAATTATAGGGTGTCATACTACAAATAGCTGGTTTTTAAATGCCTTATAAAATACTAATAATAAGTTCAAATGGATTTAAAAACTGTGAATGGCAGCCTGGGATCGTTTAAAAAAGGAAAAAGTCTGCCTTTGTTGTATACAGGAGAAAATAATCGGTCAACAATAATGTATAACGTAAATGTGATTTCTAAAAAAACATACCAATGCGATGCTTTAATCTCTAAATATCTTATAATACTAATATGCATACCTTGTTAAAATGATGGTAATATGTTTTCAGAAGCTCGTTAATGCCATTACATCCAACAAATGTGTCACAACGTCACAGGAGAAGATAATACACTTGGCCTTTCCCTGCTTCTACAAAGTTTTGCCTCATTTATTTGTCCATCGAAATTCAGAAAATACATCTTTGGTCTCCCAAACAAATATGTAATTATGTGAGTCTATGTTAAAAATAAGAGACAGCAGCTTTGTGTTATCCCTAATGGCAGAAGACAGTGCTGTGCTCTGTGACATATGGGTCAGAAACAAGCGAGAGAATGACTAAAAGGAAAAACAAAACAAAAAAAACAAATGATACATAGAGCCAACTCTTACCGTAAAGGGGGGTTTGCTTTTCCAAGAGATAACTGGAGTGAGAACCAAGAGTTCGGCCATTGTTTTCACAGGAAAGATGCCAAACCCCCAGTAAACACCCAGTAAACTCCCAGTAAACCCACTGCCTGTTTGCCAGTTTGGGTCCAGGAGGTTAAACAAGCTGATCGCCATCACTGCTGCAGATCCTGAGCCGTGCTTCTTGCCCATATGGGGCATTTTTCCTCAAATTACTGTACAAAAAAAGGAAAAACTGTAGCTCAAGAGCTCTGGCCCCAAGCCCTCTTTGAAGTTTCATGATCAGTTTTCCACATTCTTTATCATCTGTATCCTGTACAAGTGCAGTAAACACTCTATACTTTCACAACTCACTCTCTTGAGCGTCTCTTCCCTGCTCCATACTGGATTGTTTAAAGACGTTAATTTACAGTTTCTGGAATTGGCACTTGACAAATAACTAAATAAATAAATATATAGAACACCATCAGTAGCTCTTAGGATGCCCTTAAGTCTGAGGAAATGTCCTTCTCATCTCTTGCTGTTTGCTTTTCATTGATTTGGAGAAAAAACGTGAATCCAACAGTAGCAGCAGCAGCATTTCCTGGAGGAAGGTGTTTTTCAGGGCGCGTGTTGCTTGTGCACAGTAAGTCAGTGTATTTGTGTGTGTAAATATTGATTTGAGTATGCTTTTGAGCTGTGACTGCACGGTTTAGTCCAGCGAAAGCAGCGGCTGCATGTTGTCTTCTTCGCTCTTGACTTTGTCTGGTCGCTTCAGGACTCCCGGTTCCACCACCGACTGAGACCTACAAGAACAAAGAACAGGAGGTGATTAGCATAACTGTGTCGCCAACTGTGCTGAAAGCTTTAGAGTGTCAACCGTGAAGCGCAGGGAAATATTAACTGTAACGGTTTATGTTGATGTTAAAATATTCCGACCTACTTGTGTAAAGTCTGATGCAACAGTCTATCCGTTATTTTGTCTCATGCTATGAGGCAAATTGTGAGTATGAATAACATCTGCAAAAAAAACTTCAGGTCAATCTTCACCTCAGGTTTGATTTCCAGGAGTGCTCTAATTTCTATGTTTATTATTTTGTTCACACAAAGTTAAAAATACTTTATAAGACATTGGATACATGCAGAAAACACCATATGTTTCTGTGTCTGTAACATAACCAGTGTGTTTTTGTAAATAACTCAAAATGCTAAAATGAAAAAATAAAATGTTACTTGCAAGTTTCATTATAATAATAATGGATTGGATTTATATAGCGCTTTTCAAGGCACCCTCACACACTGGTGGAGGCAAGCTACGGTTGTAGCCACAGCTGCCCTGGGGCAGACTGACAGAAGCGAGGCTACCATATCGCGCCATCAGCCCCTCTGGCCAACACCAGAGTAAAGTGTCTTGCCCAAGAACACAACGACCAGGATAGAGAGCCCAGGGATCGAACCGGCGACCTTCCGGTTACAGATACGGTTCCCAACCCCCTGAGCCACGGTCGCCCACATTCGCTATAATCTTTTATCATACAGTATGCAGTATTATTTTTTTACTAGTTAACCTGTGTTATAATTTTTGTTTTAATACTTCATAAAAAAAAAACCCAGCGTCCGCACATTAAATAAAAATGCATTCGTGCATACTGATTTTATAGCATAACATGCATAACACTAACAGTGCTTTATAGGCTAAAAAAGTGTCATAAAAAGTTTTTATTTCCTGCTATATGGGAATTAATCAAAGAGTGAGTTCATTTTTAAATGCACCCTGTTACTGTCAGACCATTTATAACTCACTAATAATTTATTTATGATTGGCAGGGTTGAGCCTTCCTGCAGTGACAGCCTGCTGCCTTAACTCGCTGCTGTTTGTCTTCCATAGTATAAATGTCTTTGAGTCAGTTGACGTCCCACAGTGGTGAGATGATTTACTGTCACAGTGAATTACACCGCACAGTGGCCTATAGGGGGGAAACTCTACAGCAGGAAATGTCAAACATGCTCTCAGCAGAATTCTCTTTGTCAAGAATAAGCACAGAAATTTTAGTATATAAATGAACGTAAATATATATGTAACCCCCAAAGTCAGCTAGTCTGGATAATACTAGATTGCGTATTGATTGCTTATTTACTTGTCTTTTTTGTAAGGGTTCAACTTCATAAACTATTTATTGACCCCATCATATCATTTTGCACCTTTATTGCTTCTTTTTTCAAACCACAGCTTGTATATAAAAGGTCGACTAAGCTATTTTGGAGACCTAAATTCAGCTTTTTGAGGCATATCATTTTGTTTTTGGGGCTTGTTGAGCACAAGACAACCGCACCATAAAATACACCCTGACTATCTAATGTCTGTTTTACTTTAAATAGAACCAGGACAAACAAAACTTCAAACTATTAATTGGGAATCTACACTCACCAGAAAAACATCACATAAATCAAATGTAAACCATAACTACAGGATTCTACATTTGCTGGCCACTAATGCAGGATTGAGCCACTAGACTATGTCCATCTTTTATAAATAAATCTGCACAAGAATCACAAAGAGGTCCAGCCAAATAACACTAGTTGCTTAAATAAAAATAGAATGAATATAAAATCAGATGGAACCATTTAGAGCATATTCATCCCCGTCAGCTGAAACAATGATTACAAGAAGACCACAGTGAGATAAAATCTGTATAGTTCTGTTATTATGTCATTTGTTTACTATAATTATTCAAAGATAACCAAATTAGTTCCACAGTATATCCTATTGTAAAACAAGCATTTTATTCATTTTTTGTGCATTGTTTAATTTTTAAATTAAATTATTCTCTGAGAAAATGTATTAGCTGGTAGTTCCTAAGCCTGAAGCAGCTGTGGAATATTTGGGTGGGACTCCTTAGCCTCAGGAAAAAACAGTAGCTCTGGTTGTCATTAAGAGGGTCCTAAAGCATTTAATAATATATTCTTAAATCTAATAATAATCAAAAACAGTACTACAGTAAATAAAAAACACTGTGGAGGTTTTATGATGGTAAGCTAACCTCTTCATGGTCTTTGGGGAAAGGTTTTTCTCCAGGTCTCTCTCCAGGTCTTGTACTGATAGGGTGTAGGACTCTGGACAGTAGTCAGTCTCCTCGTCATATGCGTGGTCCAGCAGTGTTCGAGCCCATGTCCCCATATCGTAGGGTGGCATCATCCCACCAAGCTCCGATGGCAAGATCTCTGGGTGGATGAGCTGATGGAGGCTGTTTAGGTTGTTACCATGCATGAAAATCTGCAAAGGGAAAAGATGCAAGGGGAAACAATTTAGACCAGAGGTCTCCAACTCCAGTCCTCCAGAGCTACTGTCCTGCAGCTTTGCATCCCTACTGTAACGCAGCTGAATCAAATGGTTGAATTACCTCTTCAGCATGACATCAAGTTTGGCAAAGGTCTAGTAACAAGCCATTCATTTGATTTAGCTTTGTTGGAACGAGGATGTTGAAATTCTTGGAATTTTTCTCTCCACATTCAATTTCTTTTCTCTTCTTGAAACCATGAAAAAGATCACAAAGCCCAAAAAAGCTTGACTATTAGGCCAGTAACCAGACCCAAAATGTCATCGTTCCTATTAAATTTGAGTAGCACAACTTGTTATAACCCAATTCTATATTCTATTTTTAGCATGTATGTATTTTTTAAGTTTATAGGTTGCTGAATAGGTCATTGCCATTTCAAATTTAGAAAGAAAAAGACAAAACAATCAGAACCAAATTACTTTATTAAAAGGAGACCATGTGAATTCCAGCTTGCTAATAGTTTTCACCTATCATCCACATTAATGTGGGCCTCTGAGAAGAACAATATGGCTCTCTGTGTGGTTATTTTTACTGTTAGACTGTCTGTGGTCCCAATTTGGAGGGTGCTTTTTTACCTGATTTTGCACCAGCTGAAAGACGGATTATAGACAAATCTCTTGGCTTACCCTCTTCCTTGTCTTGTCTTTAAGAAAGGGTCGGATGACGGTGTAGAGAGCGTGAATGTACCAGGGCTGGTTCACAAAGTGGATCCCTCCAAATCTGGCAGGAAAACTGTCCTGTAGGAAACACAAGAAAAAACAAAACAGATGAATATGGTATCTGGAGGTCAGCCGAATATGGTGTAAATATATATGCATATATATATATATATGCATATATATATATATGTGTGTGTGTGTGTGTGTTACAAAGTTGTATGTCAGTACTGAGCTATGCCCTTATATAATATTCCTGCCAGTTTCCAAATTCGAATAACCTCTTAATGTTCACCTAAGATTATGTTACTTTTTTGTTTTTGTGATATTATTTGTTTTGACGAACAAGAACAGACAACTCTATATGTCAAGCAGAAAGACTGAAAATAGCAGAAAAATATCACCAGTGAAAGATGTTTAACCAGAAACGAGTTCATATGGTGACTAAAGACATATGCAAAACAATGCACACCAAACAAAGGATACAAGATAAACTGTAAACCACATATTGCCATGGAAACTTCTGCTGCAAATTCATTAATCGCCATTATATTGTTAAGCCTTTTGTAAAAAAGTGCCAGTCTCAATCAAAATTAGTTTTTTCACCATTGTTTCAGTATGAGTCAAAGAAAAATTACCTGAGTGAGTTTCCTGTCTCTTTTCATTAGATTAGTTTTGTAAATGGCCTCTAACCTCATAGTCAATAGGAAATGGTCTGCAGTGGCTGCAGGACAAGCCCAGAGGGAAATGAGGCCTTGTTCATACAGGTTAGTGTGTGTACTCTGAGCCTAACTCAGTGATTCCTAGAATGTGGACACCATTATAATAATTATGCTCCAGTCCATGTGTATGAATCATCGTTTGGCCGTAGTCCAGCAGTATGGTGAAGACTGTACAGCAATCTGACATAACAGAGCTGGCTGATAAAAACGGCTTGGGGAAAATGTTTATATAAAACATGTTGGCAATGTGTGGGAGAGACAGTGACAGTGTCTGAGGTCAGTGCAGCTTTGTAAATCGGGATTTGACTGATATGAATCATCATGGCCCAAAGTCACTTCAAGTGATTTTGCTCTGATAGCAGTAATGTCAGCTCATACACTGTACAAAGCTTTGATCTAGAGCCATATAAAATTTAAAGACATATAAGACT